GCAGGAGCAGTTTTACTTTTGCCACTGAAAGAATAAAGTTATATATGAAGAAAACAAAGGAAATGTTTTATTTATGTTCTAGTCCTGCCATGTTGCAAGAGAGCCTGCTTATGCAGTTCAACAGACTGACCACGTTCACAACGTGAACCACGTTTTATTTTGCCTTTGCCATCAGAACGTCATTACAATCTGGCTACCTGACAGAAAATGACAATGAATCCACATTTTTGCACAGATTTGACCTTTTAAAGGTCCTAAACTTTTGATCAGCTGTAAAACAGCCTGTTTCAGTTTACGTGTTGTTTTTAATAAATTGCATGCTCAAGACCATTTTTCAAGTGGTCTTCAACTTTTGAGCCGGACTGTGTTTTGATGTGTAATTTTAGTACAGTGAAAAAGTGACACAATTTTAGTTCAGTCTCATTTAAATTGTGACAAAATGCCAAATCCTTATATTTGTCTAAATATCCATGATATTTTGCTGGAGTCAGTCCAAAATAAATCATGAATCCAGAAATACTTCTTGCCTAAATTAACAATGCATGAGTTCTACATCCAGGCTGACTCAACATGTTGTGTAAGTGTGCTAAAACATGTTGTTAATGTTGCAACTAAAATGGTTAATTCCTCAGGGCAAGTGCGCTTAATCTCTTCACTTCACTTCAGGCTCAAACTAAATTTAACCATGTGCACAATAACAGGCGTAACTCGTAATCTGATCTATTTAAGAGCAACAATTCTTGACAAACATAACGAGGTGGATCAACTATGAAACAACCACACCTGCCACATTATTTAAGAACTGTGTGCTTTACAAAAATAAGAGGCCATATGAATATTAGACAAAACATCCCACTGACTGACTCAAAAGACAGTAACACACAGTTACTGAACAGAATAAGATTTTTTTTTAAGTGCTGGAAACAAGTAAACACTTGTCTACTGTGCATGTTCTTTCATGCTAACTCTATTTAGAATGCTTTCATATGTATTATTATAATAATACATATTATCATTATGAAAGCAAAATCAAAGCCATAGGACGCCATTCTTATGGCGCCATAGCTGCTATACGCTAAGACTGATAACATTAATATTAAAAATGTTTCAAAGATGCCTCTATTGCCTGCTACAGCAAAACATACATGCCTAGAAATGAACTTTGATCATTTCAAACATCACCAGAAATTCCTTATCGTCAAACACGTCATGACACATGGGTCCTCCACACCAGCAGTTTGTAACTAAATCCAGTTGGGACTTTTTGTGTGCATGAGAATATTAGTCTCAATGAAAAGTACTTTTATATTTTATATTTTTGCTGTGCACCTCTAGAAAAATGCAATCACATGAAGTACAGAAGCAAAACACAACATTGAAGAAAGTCCAATTTCATTCAACTCAGCCTCCCTTTGACAGTTCAAAGACACAAAACAAACAACATTGCTGCACGTCATCTCATCTCACATTCAGCATTCCTACATTTGCAACATTCTCGTTGTCGTCACCGGCATCTCAACATCGCATTCTTCTGCAAGACCCGCCACATTCCACTGTTGTAACTCATCATTTCATGGCCCTGTATCACTCCACAAAGCATCTAATAACAATTAATCTTAACCTTAGACACTTAAATTATGTCTAAGGTATTACGTTTGTATATTAACACATAGAAAGCAAATGAAACTGATATAAAAACATTCTGAACACATGAATGTAGCATAAATCATCTAACTCATTATGAGATCATTTAATTGATAACTTTTTAGATTTTTTCTAGAAATGTTTATTAATTCTTAAATTTAGATCATTTATTATAAAAACAACACAGGAGGAATGAGTGCAGCAGTTGGAAATAACCAGCACAGCACAGAGGTACTGGAGTTACATTCATATTTTATTTAGGATTGACCGATATTTCCACTACATAATTAAACTAATGAAGAAGTTAATGTCATAAAAATGTATTTATTTAGTTTCTCACATTTGGGGCTTACAATACAGTATTGATCACATTTGTGTGGTGACGTTACAGTCACTTAAAGCCTGTTTATTCTGCTTTCATTGGTTTGTGTTTGCACAATGGGTCCAGACTGTCTGTAATATAAAAGACTTTTTTTTGCACTTTGTGAATATAGTGCCTCATAAGGAGCATGCAACCCAATGTCACTGCAAAGTGTGTAATAGGCCAGCTGGTCTATTGTGTGGATGTCATGCTTTGCCTCGCCTATGCATGCTTAAGCTACAGTACTTTGCAGAACCAGCAGAGGTTAAAAATGTATTTAAAGCATCACGAAAACAGTCAGGGGAAACTTAAACTTAAAGAAACATTACGAACACATTTACACGTAAATACATATCAGCCATTTAGCTTAATCATAATGTGACATAGAAGGAGCCTGGAGTGTACTTCATAACATCCTTTCTCAGAAGTGTCTTGTTAGCTTTAAATAAATTACAGACCTCTGCTGGTACACGTGTCAATTTCACGCCTGGGAGAGGCAAAGCGTGACATCCACTCAATGGACCAGCGGCTCTGTCGGGTTAGAGAATGTTTCATATATGATATTAATGTAGTGTTTTTTGATGTAGGCTCTAGAGGGCAGGATGTGACCACATTTACAGTGAACCAATAACAGCACCTTCTTTAAGGCTGTTTATTTCTTCTTTTGAAAACAACAGGTTTATTTTGTTATTTTTATTTTGATCGGTGCAACTGATGCAGGTGTAATGTTCACAGCTGTGAGTGCAGTGGCAAAACTGTCTTTTTTCACACAGTCGTCTGGGAGTTGAGCTCCACATATTTCTGGTCTTCAGTAATAATGAAGCTCAAGTGTAACTTGAGTAAGGAACATCTGTAATCACTCATCGGCCTGCAAACTCAGTGCTGACATCATTACTCTGGTCCAATCATTTTCCTGCCTGTCTTCTGTTCTCTGTGTTTGAAATCTTAGTGCTTTTCCATTATTCTGTCTTTCAGACTTCCATTGATGCCTCCCACCTCCTCCTCATCTTCATCTTCACTACCACCAGCATCTAGACTCCAGGGGGTAATCCTCACTCCTCCCACTGCTGGGATCTCATTCTGCTATGATGGGTCACGGATGTCTAATTGCCAAATAGCCTAAATGAATTCTATAGCTCGATGAATCACGCTCACTTCTTCTGCATGAACTGTCCATGACCACCAAAAGTGGAAATTACTAATGTGGCATTTGTCTCCTTATAGACACCAAATTTCTATTCAGACACATCCCTGCAAGCGTTACGGTAAGTGTCGACAGCAGATGGGCACTAAAAAAATAATTCAGGCCAAGAGTTTGATTCCTATTTAGTCTGCTCTGTTTATACAAATCATCAGGCTAAGTAGGCAAATTCCAGTTGCTTGTTATGCTGTCATATATCACATTTTCACTGAAGTATCACTATGGACAAAATATTTATGAAATTATGTTGGTCTGATATTTACTTCAGAAGGGTTTCTCTTTCATTTTTAGACAAATTAATTAAGAGCAGTGGCAGCTGGGTGGGTGGCCTAACAAAAGAATTAAAGTTCACACTACTAGCAGCAGCATCATATCCTCGATACCACATTACAACCAAAAGACCTTATCGTAGCAATACCAACAAAACTACATAAGGGAATACCCAGAATGCCAGTCACACACACTCTCACACAGATTTTGACTAGTTGTTGCTGAACACATTAGCCTTTTTTGATTGGTTGTTGTTGTTGTTTTTACAGAGACAAAATATGCAAGAATGATAGCTGATGATCAGAATGGGGCAGGTTCTGTGTGTTTATAGCAGATAGAAACATTTAGCCAGGATGAACTGCAGGTTTGTAAAAGTTGTTTTTCTCCCTCTAAAGGGAGGAATAAAAATTAATTTAGATGTGTTTTACATGAAGGCGCTGACGTAGTTATCAAAAACGTTAAACTGTCAAAGCCACAGTAATGATGGTAGGCGATCAAGTTTTAAACCTTGATATATTTCAGACATTGGTCACTAGGTGGCAGCAGAGTTCCTCTGCATTGCCTCAGTGTGTAAGATGAAAACTTAAAAAAAATCCCACTCTTGTTCTCTTGAATGAGCTTTAAGTTAAGAGAACAAACAGCCCTGGTATTTTTCTGTTTACAAATAGAGATGAAGAAGAAAGCGCTCTGAAAATGTAAGTGCTTCTAAACAAATGTGAAAAGATTCATGGATACAGATAACCTGCCCAATTCTCATCTGACCAATATATTACAGCAAGTTTGTTGTTTTTTGTTTTTTTTTTCCTTTGTAGTAGACTGAAAATTTAGCTTTAATACTCTTTAATGCTTCCCACGTACAGCTATGCTTTACCAACAAAGAGCACAGAGGTCATGCTGATGCAGGAGCAAGGCACCAAGACGTACGTCGATGCTGTCCTCAAGACTCACCACCGAGTCGTTCAGGTAAGACCTGGCTTGTTGTGTTTTTTGGGGTTTTGTTTGTGCTTTCAGCTCAAACTGCAGGTGTACTGAGAGGTTTTAAAGACCTAACTGTTAACAGTGTCCAGCTGAGCACTCTGAACGCCGCGCTGTGTCCCGTGTGAGTAAGCTGTTGCATGTTCATCTTTTAGTCCATAACTGTTGGAGAACATTAGAAGTGCTCACTATAACAAACCAAACTCCATCTTACTCTTAAAAGCAATGTGCATGTGTAGTTTTTAGTCATATCATAATTTTTACTACTAATCCACTTCTCTCCCTCTGTACCTCTCAGCACACCGAAGCTGATTTCCAAGCACGGTTCAAGGCGCGTCCAGAGCTGGAGGGGCTCATCGCTCAGATGAACCAATAACCTTCACCGAGTATCAACACTACAGTACTTGTACGACAACTAATTTATAGCGCATTGCTCATTCCTCAATAACATCCCGTAAAAACTGATTTTCTGCTTTAAGAAAAACAAACGTGTACACATTTCTACTTGTCTTATTGGGGGAAATAAAACCATACTCACTTTTTTTCCAGCTCAAAACTTTTTTTTTATTATTTAATCTACAAATTATTCTGCTTCATTGAAAAGTTTGAACACCAAACGTAGGCACGATATCATTTTTCACTTTTAATTAAAACAAAGTAGTTATAATAAAATGTGAGTTATTATAATTAAGTCTGTTTATTTAAATATTTTCTCATCTTCTGAATAAAGATTAACCCATCTTGTAGAAAACATAAAACACATAAAATTAGAAAGACAAAAAAAAGGTAAAATTTTGTTTAAAAAAGGCATTTTTTACATTTTCAAAAAACAGAAAAAAACAATTATTTGGTTGCGAAAACAAGATTCTGCAATGTTCATAGGTTTATATACCTTAAACAATAGATTTAACCCTTAATGTTTATGCCACTAACTAGATAAAATTAGGTTTAATCATTTAATATCAGTATTCACATTCTTTCACATCATATTCTTGCACAGGAGGTACGGAAAGGCCGCATGTTAATCAAATGTACAGATCGACTCCATTTTCTAAGCAGTCATTACAGTCATGTTCTTTCACTGAGATCCTTCAAGCTCATACATGAGAAACCTCAGACTTCATCCCTCTCAGGATTTTATAGACATCTCTGCTCTGTTGTGTCAGCGTCACAGACTAAACAATCTGTCTCATTTGGTCTCATGTTGCATTTGAACTTCTCTCATCACCATGTTTGTCCTCAGAGATCACATCCTTTTCCTGAAGCTCGTCTACAACAGCTGCTGCCTCACTCGCTCTGCCAATCAGAGCTGTCCAATGGCAAACCACGAAATCCTGAGCAGAGGAAGTTGGTGAAAATTTAAAAAAAGAAAAAAAAGTCTAGTGTTCAGATCATCACTGTTGAATACTAGACAGTGATGATCTATATTAGGATTATAGTTGTGAGAAAAGAAGTAAATCCTTTTTTCAGTTCTAAGGTTTTACTTACCAGAATATAATAAATATCGCTTTGTCCTTATCAGGTTGTAAAAGATCAACTCACTCATTTTTTAATGAAAATTATGGCAAAACGCTGAAAAACTAAATAGACTTTAATGCTTCCATTAATAGAGAAGGTAAATGGCAGCCTGGTGCTGCAAACTAAACAAAGCTACGAAGCTGCTCTCTTTTCTTTTACAAGAAGTCACCACAGCTGACAGATTTCCAGGGAAGAAAGTAGTAATAATTTTAAAGAAACAAGTGTTGATGCCCAACAGTCTGTTCACACGAGTCACCATCCCAGTAAATGTCAGACCGTGCAATGCTCAGGGAAGCTACAAAAACCCCAAAAGACCCTAAAGGCCTCAATTAGCATGTTATATGTTGAAGAAAGTCTCTTCACATGTTCTCTTCTCGTTTTGCAGCCACAGGAACTAAACATTTGAGTTGAACTTCTCGGTATACCAAAGTTTTCAAGAGAAAAATGCAAGGGCATCTGCTGACAGATAAAGCTTGGCTGAAATTAAATCATGCAGCAGGACAATGATCCCAAGCACAGGAGAATGGAGCAGTCAAAGTACAGACCTCAACCGGACTGAAATGCTTTTTCAGACAGCTGTGTGTAAATGAATGACAGCAAAGTTCAATGAACTGAAGCGGTGCTGTAAAGAAGTGTGGACCAAAATACCTCCACAATGATGTGAGAGACTGATAAAGTAACACTGATTGCTTCTTATTGTTGCTAAATGTGGTTTTACAAGCCACTAAATCTTGTGTTGTGCTTAGTTTTTCACACACTACTTCTGCACTTTGGCCTAGTTTTGTTAAATGAATAAATATAAACACATTCCTCATCTCAGGTTTGTATTTAGATTCTTTCAGAATCCGATTGGAACCAGATGTTTTTTCCCCTTCAAATTATAGCTGGATAAGTAAAACCTTAGAATAAAAAAGTGGTGTACCTTCTTTTTCATGACTATTTTTTTAAAAGGATCTACTTTGATAACAATAATAATCTAATAATTATGGATTAAAACGAACCTCTTACCCTGTTCTTGGTGAATGCTTGAGTTTAATAGTCATCTGGAATAAAAGGGTTCACATTGGTCAGATGGTGGCTGTTCATAGTTTAGATGAGCTGCGTTAGGGTAACAACATATAAAACACTAACCTGTTCCGATAGTGCACGTCCACACGGTGTCCTTTTCCTTTCCTCCCCTGCGCTCAACTTCAAGTTTCAGTTTCACGTTTCCGAAGTCGCTTTTTTCATTTCCAATGACCACCTCAAAGAAATTAGTGTCGCTCCACTCCAACATGAACTGCTGTTTCTGCAGAGAAAACATTTTATGGAAATTTGAGGATTTTTGCTGTTTCTATGTTATGGTGCAATGAACAGAAGTACAGCTTAGTCCAAACCTCAGGGCAGATTTGTGCTGTGTCCCAGTCTGTTGAGAGGTAGAAATAACTCTCCAGCTGTACAGGGTCAACAGGACTTGTCTTTCGGATTTTTCTGAATCCGTCAGATTTCTCCTTCTTCTCCACTTCCTGAAACATGGAAAAATGGACCATTCTTCACATACAAGTAATGATTGGAAATCGTGTTCACATCTATTCATGTCTTTAATGAACATATGTGTTTGTGTTTATATCAAGATGAGAACATTGATTTGCACTACTGCAATCCATGTAACTGAAAAGGGAAAATGCTAAGAAAACACAAGTAACAACTACAAAGTTTAAAAAAAGCTCAAAGCTGTTCAAAAAACAGCTTTTGAAAGAATGATTAAATTACATTAGCATAAAGATGGCTGTAAGTTCTTAACTTTTAATGCAGTTTTCTCTGCCTGAAAGTCAGTAATGTTGTCAGTTGGGTTGTCAAAACATTTAGAGACCAAACTCTATTAATTTGCTGCCTTGTAGTGTCACTGTGTTTTTGTATTTATCAATGAGAGCATTTTATTTCTCTGTGTTATTATATATCACCTTGATGATATTTTTCCTCACTTCTACTTCATATTGTTGCTCCAGTATGTGGCATTGTATTACCTGTTGTATTAGAGGATCATGTGGGACCAGGTAAACGTGCAGAGTGAGGCCAGATGTGATTTGCATGTATATCAAGACATCAGCAAAAACTTTTAGATATAGGCCCAGTTTCTTTAGGATCATGGCTCCTCTTAGAAAGAACTCCGGCTTGTTTAACTTCACATGGGATGATGTCATTTCAGACACTTGCTCCAAATAACCTCCACTGCTGTCCACATGCAGAACTCGAAATATGTCTGACATTGCTGCATTTTCACCTGCAAAGCACAAACAGTCATGTGCATAAATATCTTTATTACTGTAATAAAACAATCATATGTGTTTTACGACTGCTCACCTGTACAGATCCAGTGCGGCAGACAGACTTCCTCTAGCTTCCCATCTGTGACTTTGATGTCCATTAGGGGTCCTGCTGGTATGTAGTCCATGCATACAGGTTTCCTCATGAATCGCTCCCATGAGCTAAACTGGTATCTGAAGCTGACGGTTTCCTTACAAACCCACCGCAAGGCAGACTCGCTGCATTCATATTTGCCACTTTCAGACTGCAGGCTGAATTTGAATAGACAAGACAAAATGCTCTGTTATGCTCGGTTCACATGCACGAACAGAAACAGCAAAACTGCAAAGCAAATAATATAAAATGGCACTTGTAATGAATTACTTTATGTTCTGTCTTATAGTTATCGATAACCTTTACCTGTAAGTATGAACCTCCTCCATTATCTCAACTTCAGGTTTCAGCTTCGTCCACTGACTGGAGTCCTGTTGTACAAGATATTTTTTTCATTATATTTTTACAATATAATTATACATTTACATTATGACTTTAGAATTTTTATGTGACATACAATATATGAGAAACAAACAAAATCCCAGAGAAGTAGAAACTTACTGTTTCATTGTCAAAAGTCTTCAGAAGTCTCTCTGATGGTTCTTGTAAAGCAAAGTTAAATTTTAAAGAGCTGGCCAACAACATATCATTCAGACACATTGGTTTTTTCCCCTTTACCACAAGTGCTATCTTGTGTGAGATTTCTACATAACAAAATTACATTAAGTACATATAAGATATCTATTTTCTATTGTTAGAATCTTTAAGTGTAACAATAAAACCAGTTTAGTACAGGAAAACTTTGTACGCAGCACTAACTCACTTTGATAATGGCAGTACAAAATGTGTATTATTAACACATATGACATTTGTAAAGATGAGGACTTTAGTAACTTAATTTTCTTACCCTCAGCTCTGTGAACGTTGTAAGCAACAGGACCTCCGATTGTAAATCCAAGATAAAAGAACACATGGCCTTTTTTCCAGAGGCTGTCTTTTCGGTTGGCATCTAACTCGATCTCTGTGTCACCAAATGTTGCATACAGCCTGTAATCTTGCACTATACCTTCAATTCTGAGGAGTTTGCCTTGGACTGTCGGATCAGTGAAAATATCGTCATTCCTCCAGTTTGTTTTTGGGTCTTCCAGTGCATCTTGGGTCCACAAGATTTCAAGGTTGCGTCTGTGAACAAATCTGTTCAGACCCTGACCCGGTCCAAGAAAAAATATGGGTCGAAGGTACCTTGACTGAAAGAGTGACTTATATTCTTGTTCATAGGATTGCAGAATATTTTGGATTAAATGAGGTAGGTCAGAGGCCAATTCGTGTTCACCATCTGTAGGCCAACACAACAGCAGAGCTAACATGTGAAACTCGGGTTGCATCTCAGGAGCCAATGGCATTTTCTCTCTAAAGCTGCTTTGGTAGTCGGCACTGGAGGGAGGTTCTTTCATATTTATCAGCATGATATTGGCCAGAACGTAGTTGAGTAAGGCATGTGTAGCAGAATGTTTGTGTTGGCAGATTTCTCTCCACCATACAGCAATGTCCTTGGTGTCTGATCTAGTGCATCTTTCAAGACATGAAAGTACTCCCGGAGAAGTGACAGCCAGTTTTTGTTTAAGTTTGTGGAAGGCTTTCTGGAGTTGATCATTTGGTTCTGCGTCTCCAACATACTTTTTGTAGCATTCTATTGTCTTTCTGGACATGTAGGATGAATCGTCTCTTTTAACAACAGAATATGAATACGTTAAAAACGTGTCAAAAAATTCAAATCTTTTCTCAACCAAATCTCTGAGGCTGTTTATTAGCTCCTTAAACCTGACAATGTTCCTATCTCCGGTGGATTTCAGGACAGAGTCCAGTGACATGGTTCTTGTGAGAACTTGCTTCCAAAGTTCATCATGTCTGATAAGATGGTCATACAACAGGCTGCAAACTTCCAGATAACCAAACAGCCCTCTGGTGTTTAAAGCACGCAAGACTTTTACATTCCCATCTCCTTGTTTACCCTTTGCATGTTCATTTTTAGCAAGTTTTTCTTCATCTTCAAAAGCTTCAATGGCTTTTTGGGCCAGTTGCAAAATTTCGCTTGGTCTGGTATAAACGGGCATCTTCTTTAGGTGGCTCTTATGGACTTGGCCTAGTGTATCTGCAACAAATGAACTCCAAGGAGCCCTCCGCTTTGCTTCTTTTGCCCAGATTTCTGCATTGTAGTAGTCTTCTAGTTGAATATAATAAAAACGAGCAAGAGTCTGTGGAAAAAGTGAAACTTCATAAAACTTATTTGAGGCCATGATCAAAACTGACAGACTGTTGCCCTCATCTTCTCTTTTTGTAATATCTTGAATCAGTCTGGAAAACTTTTCTTTCCATTCTTTAATGCCATGAGTTGGGTCCTCTATTACCGTAATTTCTCTTTTATTTAGCATGTCTTTGATAAACCCAAGTAAATATGGAGGAACATAACTTCTGCAAAAACTGTTCAAGAAGTGTCTTGTTGTGTCACTTCTGGTCACACCCGCATTAGCCAACTGTTCAGTACAACACTGAGCTATCATATTGTGAGCCATGCAAACCTTTTTTTCAGATCTTTCACCTTGTTGGAAGGTGACGATCAGATGACTGAAAGGCTGCATTTGATCCTCCAGTGAAAGGTGACCAAACTTGTCTCTTCTGAGGAAGTCCAGGCACTGAGACTCCAGGAGATATGAACCTGGTACGTAGGCGTTCAGCAGACACAGGAAGGCAGCAAGCTGCATCTTCAGTGGCTTATTTGTTCTTTTGATATGTTCTAATGTAGCACATGCGTTCCTGATGTAGGCTTGAGAGAAATTAGACTGCAGAATGTTAAAACCATGAAACTGCTTGCATCGATCACCAAATCTTCTGCCAAGCTCTTCTTTTTTCATATCAAAGTCTGCTTGCTCTCTGTCTGAGAGAGATTTTTTGAGAATAATAGATTTTCTCATTTTCCTCTTGAACTTTTGTTTCAGTTCATAAGAACGCGCCTTTTGGTGGATAATCCCGTCACTGCTTCTCACACAGTTCAGTAAAATTACCACAGGCAAATCAATTTCTATATCCTGTTCAGCAATCTCTTCCATAATCCTGTCCTGGAGGATGTCCAATATGAACTCATCATTTAGTAACAACAGTACCGTTTTCTGGTGGCCATGGCTACCTGCTGTAAAAAGGCTGACCACATCTTGCGCAACTTTTGTGATATCTAATGTTGAACCTGTCAAAACAGCACATCTGAAGGTTTTCCTCAAGTCCCACAGCACCTGCATAGCCAGTGTGGTTCCCCCACATCCTTGTTGATGAAACAGTTTAATTGTTGATGTCCCAGGGCCTTTTCTTCTCAGGTGAATTTGTTCTTTAAGGGTTTCATATCCATCTCGTTTGATAAAAGGAGTTGCATTGCCATCTGACACTGCTTGTTCACTGATATAGAAGTTGAACCAGTTCGGTGGGGCCCCTCTGTAAAAGTTTTCCTCCACTTGCTCAGCGTGTTGAGGTTCAATAAACTCTCCTTCAAACTGATTGGCATGGAGGACATCCAAAAATGAGAAGGAATCACTGATTTTACTCCTTGCATCTGCTTCTCCACCTTCAGCAGTGGGCAGGGCTGGTCTGTTTGCCATCTTCACACTTTCACTTCACTTCATGGTAATGAATGTAAAAACAAAACACAAACATTTGTTAGTCTTATGTCTTAGCTTAAACTATTTGTAAATTAAGGTCTTACATTCACTTTATGGAATGTGATATATTTAAATAGCCATTTCATTGCTGGTGGAGTACACACATATATAGCCTTCTCCATGTAAAGGACCAAACAATAACTTCAACAAAAACTTTCAGATCTTAACGGAATTTATCTTACCTTTTCTAAAATGTCGCGGACAGCTCTAGCGATCTGCTATCATGCCATGTGTTCAAGCACTGGGACCGTGGATGTGTACTGTAACCCAGGAGGTAGTAGACACACCCAAAGCAGGAAGAGATAATCCCTTACAAACATGGACACCTCTACACTTTGAATGTCAGAGCAGTACTAAAACAATCCCAGGCGCATTTCCTTCCTGCTTAAAGTTTCTTTTTTTTAAAGGCAGGGGCTACACTTGACTCGTTCAGTCGATAAACAAGTCAAATATTGCACAATTAGAAGCCAAATAGTGGAAATTTGCAAATTTATCCAGCACAAATAATAAAATAGGTGTTATATGTTAATTTTGTCCTATATTCAAACATTACGTGCACTTCTTCAAAGCGGTATTGTATTCATAAGTTAATTTGATAAGGAAACGTTCATCACAACAGGAAATACTGACGTTTCACTATGAACGCGTTCATGACGGAAGATTATTTTATTCCGTCACTAGTTCGCGCTTGTGGTTGAGTTAACCTGTTATTCAAGTTCATATAGAGATAAAGTTAAGTGTTACGAACGAGTACGATATAACGATATGATGATTTACAAACGTGTACAATGATTTGTGTATAATGAGGACTCACAAGCGCGTGCTTCGATCGACCGTGTAAAACCCTCCTACGCATGCGCATATCCAAGCCTGAATAAAGGGTTTCAAAACCGTTATGTGCTGCCGACGGGAAGCTCAATATTGACGTTTCGATAGCGTATTGAGTATCTACGGTCATTGGTATTGAGTCACCGAGGCACAGATGTCTTCAAAACCCAGTTCCAAAGTGCGGTTGAAAACACCCAGGTCACGTGACCACGACAAACTCCGACGTTGTTGTGTGTTTCACGCCTGTTTCGACAGGTGGCGTACTTGCTGCTTCCAGCCAACGAGAGGCGCCAGGATATGAATCAGTGATGTTTTTGACATTATAGCTTCTATTTTTTTGTGTGTGTAAAAACAAAAAATGTATCTGATTATTCTTATTCTTATTATTTGATGAGATATAAAGTCATACGTAAACTCATTAAAATATCTCAATAAAAACTCATCTGCTTTCAGGGAGAAACACAAACGTTTCTTTCATATTAATCAGCATGATATTGGCCTGAATGCAGCTGGGTAAGACATGTATAACAGAGTCTTTATGTTGACATAGTTCAATGTCCTTGGTGTCTGATTTAGTCCATCTTTCGAGACATGAAAGTACTCCCGGAGAAGTGACAGACAGGTTTTGTTTAAGTTTGTGGAAGGCTTTCTGGATGTGATCATTTGGCTTGGCACAACATACCTTTTGCAGACATTCTGATGGGGTTTTTTTTGTGAAATGTAGGCTGAATCATCTTTTTTCAAAACAAAATCTGAAACTGTCAAAACATTTCAAACCTTTTCATAACCATATCTCTGAGACTGTTTACTAGCTCCATAAACATGAAAAGTTTCTCATCTCTGGGGGATTTCAGGACAGAGTCCAGTCACATGGTTTTGGTGAGAACTTTCTTCCAAAGTTTATTGTTGTTCATTGTCTGATAAGATGGTCATACCACAGGTAACCAAGCAGCACTTTCTTGTTTGCCTTTGACATGTTCATTTTTAGCAGGTTTTTCTTCATCTTCAAAAGCTTCAATCCTCTCTGGGCCAGTCTCAAAATTTCTCTTGATGTGGCAGAAATGGTTGTGTTCTCCAGGTGGCTCTTATGGACTTGGCCTAGTGTATCTGCAACAAATGAACTTCAGTGAGCCCTCCGCTTTGCTTCCTTTACCCAAATTTCTGTGTTGTAGTAGTCTTTTAGTTCAATATAATAAAACGAGCGAGAGTTTGTGGAAAAAGTGAAACTTCAAAAAACCTTAGTAATTCAAGGGGGTTGTGAATATAGTGCCTCATAAAGAAAATGCAACCTGATATCACAGCAAACTGTATAATAGGCCAGCTGGTCTATTGTGTGGATGTTATGCTTTGCCTCGTCTATAGGTATCAAATTAACATGCATGCTTTTCAGTACCAAAAGAGCTTAAAAATTAGTTTAAAGCATCATGAAAACAGTCAGAGCCAACTTTTAAAGAAACATTACTAACACATTTACACATAAATACATATCAACCATACAGCTTAATCCTACGTTGCATAGAAGGAGAGTCAAAGCATGACATCCACTCAATGGACCAGCGGCTCTGTCGGGTTAAAGAATGTTTCATTTATGATATTAAAGTAGTGTTTTTGATGTAGGCTCTAGAGTGCAGGATGTGACCAAATTTACAGTGAACCAATAAAAGCACCTTCTTCAAGGCTGTTTATTTCTTCTCAATTTTCTTTATTTTTTCTTTAGTTCTTCTTATCAAAACATTTTCATCAGTGTAACTGATGCATGTGTAATGTTCACAGCTGTGAGTGCAGTGGCAAAACTGTCTTTTTTCACAGTCCTCTGTGTGAAAAAACAAAACAACAAAACAAACCAGCTCAAAACCTTACCCTTATCAAACAGTCCTCACCCAGCATGCTGGGAGTTGAGCGCCACATATTTCTGGTCCTCGGTAAAAGTGAGGCTCATGTGTAAGTTCAGTAAGGAACATCTGTAATCACTCATTGGGCTGCAAACTCAATGCTAACATCATTACTCTGGTCCAATCATTTTCTTCCCTGCCTTCTCTCTGTGTTTAAAATCTCAGTGGTCTTCTGTCATTCTGTCTTTCAGACTGTCATTCATGCAACCAGGCTCCTCCTCATCTTCATCTTGACTGCCACCAGCATCTAGACTCCAGGGGGTGCTTTGCTCTCCTCTCACTACTGGGATCTCATTCTTCTATGATGGGTCACTGGAGTCTAATTGTCAGATAGCCTTACTGAATTCTGTAGCTCACTTAATCATGCTCAGTTCTTCTGCACGATCTGTTCTTGTAAACTTTTTTTTAATTTTCATTTTTCAAATAAAAAAGAGCAGAAGTAGATTGTGACTTGAGGTTTTTACTTCCACACACTGTTCAGGTCAGTTATGACTGTTGTAACTGTTCACATTCACTTAAGGGTTTTTTTTTGTCACCATTGGATAATAAAGCCCTCCTTTACTTTCCAAATAGTGTTATTTAATTCTTTAAATCTCTTCTTATGTTGTAAATGTTTTTTTCTTAAACATCAAGCATCGTCTTATCAAAGACGTGTGTACTTGGAAGTTTATAATATATTTTGGATAATTTAGTATATGCCAGACAAGCTCTATGTTTATGTTTACAGTCAGAGAGCTGCACCAAAAGTGGAAATTCATACACACATTCATACCTATCCCATACACAATTGTCACGTAATTATAGGCATCAGACGGTGGTTGACAAAAAAAAAAAAAAATAAAACAAATAAAAAAAATAATCAGGCCAAGAGTTTGATTCCTTTTCAAGCTACTCTGTTTATTCAAATCAACAGACAAAGTGCAACTATATGTTTATTATGCTGTCAGATGGCATAGTTTCACTGAGGGATCACCATGGACAAAAGTATTCAAGCAAATTAGGTTTTTCTGATATTTAATGCAGAATTTATGTCTTTCTTTTTTAGTTTTTTGACAAATAAATTGAGAGATAGTTGGCAATTCTCTAAAAGTTGACCATACTACTACTACTACTAATAATAATAATAATAATAATATCAACAACAACAATAACGATGTAATGTAATGTTTTAATGGTATGCCACAGCTATAGATACACCCTTTAAAATACCCCCAAAAACCATCAAATGCAAAACCGAGTGTACATTTAAAACATTTAAAAGTAATTGTGTCATTTTCACTAACAGCCAGTAAACACATTTGAAATTAATGCAAAACAATATTATTATACAAAGGTGGCTATGTATGTAACTTTAATATTGATTCACATAATCAAATTTGAGTATGCAAATTTCCAAATGGATTCTGTGCTGCAGAAACAAAACATTACCTACTGAGTAATGATAAATTCAGCAATACTCATCTTAATTTAAACAAAGATAAAACTACAAAGGTCTGATTAAAAATGTGAAAAAAAACCCCTCACAACACAATGCAACACAATAAGAACAAAGAAACCCTATTTTCTATTTTTAAAATTGCATAAATCCCTAATAAATCCATGAAGGTAATAGCACATACACGGAACTGCATTTTAATGCACAAATAAAACAACAAATAAACTTATATCTCATAAATCTACTGTTTTAGAAAAAAAATCAAAACAGTACAATATATCAAGCAGCAACTAAAATATGTCAAACATTTTCATTGGTTATGCTTCACTCGTGTCATGTTATAAATGACAAAACAATTCTGTAATATCATGTTTTTAAAACTTCCAATTAAAACAATTAAACAACAATGTAAAAAATCATTTGAGACGTTTCTTCACAAAGTTTCTAAACTTCACTACATAAAAGCTTACATAGATGTGACAAATCCACTAACAAAGTATTAAATAGACACTTGGCAAAAAAGTTTTAGGAACTCAACTTTTTGTTGTTTGTCTGTTGTTTAATCTAAGGTGTTAGCAGAAATAATATATTTATGACTAAAACTGTGGCAGCAGGAAAAATGACCATAACACATACTTCTTTTGCATTGGTTTTAAACATTACAGAGCCCATTCCTTTCGTTTTTGCCCCTACATGTAAACACATAAACACAAAGAAAAGTCTCAGAATCACCTTCCCATGGGGTAACTGAGCACAAACTTTAATGTCCCTCATTATCTTTGGTGTCTTTCACATCGTTGGTCAGGGCTGTTCCACTGAGATCCATGACACTGTGATCTGAGGCAATCAGTAAAAATAAAATAAGTTGAAAAACACAATAATGGATGTTAAAAAAATCTTATTCCACAACAGAAACTAAGGTGTATACAAGCTGATGTTGTAATCTTAGTAGATATAATGTGTTAGTAAACATATTTGCATGTTAATATTTAGAACTTGCTGTTACATTAATGTCCAAGGTGTCTTTCTGCTGATATATAAAAAGTTGTCTGTTTGGTATATGTTTCCTTCCAAACATATATTATTGCTATTAAGAGCAACAAAACACTAATGGCGAGGGGACAGGACTTTTATTTTATATGTACCAATATTCATAAGAAGAGTAATTTCCTGGACTTGCTGGTTGTTTTGCAAATAAATACATGATGTTGGTTAAACTGGTAGTTTTACAAAATGTGTTTCGAAAATAATTTTTCAACCTGAAAAATGATGTCTTCAAGACCATAATACAAACACGATCACTATAGAACTATAAACTAATAACAAGCAGCTACAGTTCACTGTAGTTTCAACTGTTATGCTTTCTTACCTGTGTCTGCAGTTTTGCGCTGAATGTCAAAGGCCACAGGACCTCTGATGGTGAATCCAAGATAAAAGGCAACTGAGCGTGGTTTCCAAAGGCTGTTTCTCACATTGGCATCGATCTTAATCTCTTTGCCACCAACTCTTGTATACACTTTGTAGTTTCTTACTTCTCCATCAAGTCTGAGAAGGAGCTCTTGAACAGCAGGATTTCTGAAGATTTCTTCTTTCTTCCAGTTATCGCTCCAATCTGCTTCAATCACTTTCAGATGTTTCTCAATAACATTTCTGTGAACAATTCTCTTCACACCTTCACCTTTCCCAATGAAAAACACAGGAAGGAGGTATCTGTTTCGAAAGTACTTCTTATATGTATTTTCATAAGACTTGTACATTTGCTGAGTTAACTCACTGAGGTCATAATCACATTGGCCTTGATTTCCAGCCCAGTACCAGAGGAGGGAGAACATGTGCAGCTCAGGTGGGTCTTTCTTGCTCGATGGCATTTTCCCTATAAATAGTGAGAGGATGTTGTTGACCAGAGCTGCTTCTGAATCTGCACTTGGACACATTTCTCTACACTTTGTAGATATGTCTTCGAGCTCTGATTGAGTGTATTGTTTGACAAGAAATGACAGCACTTCCACAGACTGGTCATCTAGGTTTCTGTCCTGAAACATCTGGATGAGTTGTTTTGCAGTTGTGTTGTCAACATACTTCTGGTAGCACTCTGAGGTGTCTTTAGATATATATTCAGGATCATCTTTCTCCATTTTAGGCTTTGAGTAAGTCTGAAATTTTTCCAAAAACATGCATTTTCTCTCAATGTCATCTTGCAGGCTTAATATGAGATCATTGAATCTTTGGAGTTTGTTGTCTCCAAGTAATTCGAGGACAGAGCCCATCGATACTTTTTTGGTGAGAACTTTTTCCCAGGTTTCATTTTGACTGACAAGTTTCTTATGCAGAGTTTTGCAGACCTGCAGGTAACCAAACTGCCCTCTGAAGTTATAAAAAGGTGAAACTTTTATATTGCCATGTTTTTTCATGTCTGGTCCATCTTCATCTTCAGCAAGTTTTTCTTCATCTTCAAAAGCTTTAATGGCTTTTTTGGCCAGTCTCAAAATGTCTCTTGGTTCAGAAACCTCATTGTTCATTAGGTGGTTTTTATGGACTTGGCCAAGTGTGTCAGCAACAAATGAATTTTGAGGATCTCTTTCTATTGCTCTCTGTGCCCACATTTCTGCCTGATTGTAGTCTTTTAGTTCTATATAATAAAAACGAGCAAGAGCTTGTGGAAAAAATGGATTTTGACCAAATGTATTTGAGGCCACTTTTAAAACTGTTGCACACTGCTCTTTCCCCTCCATCATTTCAATGTCTAGAATCAGTCTAGAAAACTTTTTCTGTTTGATGTCTGTGCTGTTGACTTGGTCCACTTCTTGTTTCATTTCTCTTTTGGTTAACATCTCTTTGACAAAACCAAGCAACCACAGAGGAATCGGATCTCTGCAAAAACTGTTCAAGAAGTTTCTTGTTGTGTCACTTCTGGTCACACCTGCCTTTGCCAACAGTTCAGTACAATATTGTGCTATCATAGTGTGAGCCATGTGGACCTTTTTCTCAGCTCTTCCATCTTCTTGGAATGTGATGATGAGATGACTGAAAGGCTGCGTTTGATCCTCCAGTGAAAGGTCATCGTAGTCTTCATGTCCGAGGAAGTCCAGGCACTGAGACTCCAGGAGATATGAACCTGGTACGTAGGCATTCAGCAGGCACAGGAAGGCAGCAAGCTGCGTCTTCCGAGGTTTATTTGTTTTTTTGCTGTTTTCTAATGCAGCACATGCCTCCCTGACGTAGTCCTGAGAGAAATTACTTTGCATTATGTTAAAGCCATGAAATTGTTCACATTTATCTTTGTACCTCTTTTGAAGCTCTTCCTTTTTCTTATCAAAATTTTTCTTCTCATTGTCTGAGAGTGTGTTCTTTAGGACAACGTGGTCACTCTGTTGAGGTGCATTGTTTCTCACACAGCTGAGGAAAATGACTACAGGCATACGAGTAACTATCTTCTGCTCAGCAACTGTCATCATAATGTTGATTTCAAGATCTTCCAGGATTTTCTTTTCATTCACTAACAACAGCACAGTGTTCTGGTTGTTTCGACTGCCTGCTGTGAAAAGTTGGACAACCTCTTTTGCAACTTTTGCCATGTCTGAGGTGGAGCCAGTTAAAACAGCACACCTGAAGCTTTTTCTCAAATCCCACATCACCTGCATGGCCATTGTAGTTCCCCCACATCCTGGTTGGTGTGTCAGTTTTACAGTTGATATCCCTGGAAATGTTCTCTTTTTCTGAATTTGTTCCCTAAGTTTCTCATGTCCATCTCTTTTGATAAAAGCAGTCCCAAGGGACTCTGCCTGTTCACTGATGTAGAAGTTTAACCACTGAGGTGGGGCCCCTCTGTAAAAATTCTCTTCTGTCTTCCCAGTGAGTGCTGGATCAAAATTTTCTCCTTCAAACTGATTTGCATGGAGAACATGCAACATTGTGCAGGAATCTCTGAATTCACTCCGTACATATACTTCCCCACCTTTAGCAGTGGACAGGGCTGGTCCGTTTGCCATCCTCAGCTTTAATAGTCCTGCGAATGAATGTTAAAAAGTAAAAGTAATTTAGTTTGAACTGTTATTTGATCCTAAAGGAGTAGTCTAGGCAGTAGCAAACACAACCTTAATAAGAGTTTTGTATGCTGGGATTTCAGATTCACCCTATGACATGTGATTCATAAATACTAGTTAAAAGCTTCTTTGAATTAAGTAGTCATAGAGATAAACACTACATGAAGCCTGCAATTCCAACCCCTAAATTTACGCTGACCAGATTATTAGGCATACCTGTTCAACTGCTTGTTAAAGTGAACATCTAATCAGCCAATCCCATGGCAATATCTCAATGCATTGCTATATTTATAAATGGTGAAGAAGTACAAACTGAGCAACGGAATGGAACGGGGAATTAAGTGACTTACATCACTTTGAAGGTTGCATGGTTTGTCGTTGGCAGACAAGTTGGTTTGAGTATTTAAGACCATCATATGACCACACTGGGTCTCACGTCTGTCAGCTAAGAAAAGCAAACTGAGGCTACCATTCACATGGCCAAATTTGGATAATAGAATATAGGAAAAACGTTACCTGGTGAGATTAGATTAAATTTTTACCACGACGTTTGGATGGTAGGATCAGAACTTGGTATAAACACCAAGAAACCATGGATCAGTCATGAATTATACCAACAGTTAAAAGCCTCAGTCAAACTAGAGTAAAAATGTAATCCATGTAATTGCTAACTTTAATTTAATCAAAAACTGATAGCAGACTGATAAATTGCCATTGCATACCATTTTGACACCCCATGGTAGGTTATAAGACACCACTGACCACTTCAAAAGAAAATAGATCAAAAGCTGATCCTATCATGTCAATACGTAAAAAAAACTTTGAGTTATGTTTTCAGCACCTTGTTAAAGAGTGAAGAATTAAAGCAACTCTGCAGCAACAGGAGCTAGCTACGTATACCTAACAAATTGTCCAATGAATGTATAATGCTGCATTATCCCTATGGACTTTGAAATCTCTAGGAACCTCCAAAACCATGTAATAATTACATATGCAAGCAATTTTGCATAGAGCAAATTATAGAATGATCGTACTATTTGTAACACGCTTTGTGTGAAAGTACACATTTACAGCATCACATTCATAACAAAGTTAACATCTTTGTGGATCCATCAAGACTTTTCTCACTTTGTCTTCCAGTTCTTGCAAATGTGGGTGAAGTGTTCTGCTGATCTGTGACTGGTAACTATGTTCTATAACCTGGGTACCAGGAAGCTGCTATATATAGTATACAGCCACATGCCACACCCAGGAAAGGTTTGTGAGTATATGTATACACCCACCAAAAGACCCGTAGAATGTGAAAATCAAAGTGAGTAGTATGCTATGATCAAAATGTTAGAAGGAATCAAGTTAGGACATATTTGCTGTCAAACAAAAAAGATAGATGGGAATGAGGCATGTATAAGATATTTAGATGGAAGAAAAGTAGGAAGAATTTAGTAATGAAGGATCAGGGAATTTATTAGATTAATATATTTGTATATTTAGTGTCATGGAAATTCATGGGGGAAAATGTCCACAGTGACTTATGTTATTGTTTTCTTACTTTGATCCAGCAGTATCGTTTTACTGGAAAGGTTTTACATTTCTGGTAAAGGGTGGGGTGAGGTCATTTGAATAGAAATGTTACTGGCAACAGGCCAAATACTAAAATAATTTTCTTTATGTTAAAGAAGACAGTGCCATTAACATAGTTACTGTAAGGTATTTAAAGTTTTCTTTCACTGTCAGAATGAAACCTACCACTATTGATGCTGACTGACTTTACAGGCCTGTCTGTCTGGTTTTATCATTAAAAATCTGCAGGACAGACAAGTGATGTATTCATCTTGACATTGGTAACACTTGTAGTGGACTTTAAAAGTTGCTGAGCAACCAACAGTCCATGGAAATTATTAATCCATAACTTAGTAACACTGTAACTACAGTGTAAAAAATGTAGATAAACTACTAAATTAATTTTATTAACATGAAAGAAAGTTCTATTAAGATGGTCACTGTTTCCGTTGTTTCTCATAATGAAACCTACCACTGGATTTCTTCACTATTGAACCCGATTGTCTCTGTAGGCCTGTCTGTCTGGTTTAATCGGTGACAATAAATCTTGTGTACTGACAAGGTTGGAGAATTCTGGTAAAAGGTTGAGGTGAGTTCATTTGAAGAGAAATGTTACTGACAAGTGGCCATGGCCATTTGTTAAGCTGTAAAAAGAAAATACTCTGCGTACTGAAGTTTTATTTTTCCATGTTATTAAAATTTTTTCACTGTTTATTTAATTTATTTCACTTTGAGTTTTCTTTTATTCTCATAAAAAACCTAAAACTGCATTTCTTCACTTTAAGTTCTTACTGTTAACCTGTAAACCTACCTGCTGGGTTTTCTGGTACTGACAGAGGTTTTTATGGAGGCTCTAGAAGAACACTGAGGGGAATTTTTAGGATTGCTTAGTTAAAGAACCAATCAATACAAGTAAAAGTTTAATACTGAAAATGTCTCTTAAATGTATTTAAATATAACTATATACTGCTGTAGAAGTCTTTAGGCTACCTTTTTGGAAGCCACTGGACAAAGCAGGAGAGTATATCTAGAAATGGCCAACTACTTCAGTTATTTAGGTTATTCTGTTTGTTTAATGGCTCAGTCACTAAACCTTTTCTCACATGTCTTCCTCTGATGTCTCTATTAGCAAATTCTGTAATCTAAGCGATGTGACAATGGGAGTCTGGTAAGGAAAGATGATCAGCAGTTAAGGTTGGGTTTTTTTTTTAACCTAAACTGATGAGTTAGAGTGATTATATCTACTAAATCTTAGTAGATATAATGTGTTAGTAAACATATTTGCATGTTAATATTTAGAACTTGCTGTTACATTAATGTCCAAGGTGTCTTTCTGCTGATATATAAAAAGTTGTCTGTTTGGTATATGTTTCCTTCCAAACATATATTATTGCTATTAAGAGCAACAAAACACTAATGGCGAGGGGACAGGACTTTTATTTTATATGTACCAATATTCATAAGAAGAGTAATTTCCTGGACTTGCTGGTTGTTTTGCAAATAAATACATGATGTTGGTTAAACTGGTAGTTTTACAAAATGTGTTTCGAAAATAATTTTTCAACCTGAAAAATGATGTCTTCAAGACCATAATACAAACACGATCACTATAGAACTATAAACTAATAACAAGCAGCTACAGTTCACTGTAGTTTCAACTGTTATGCTTTCTTACCTGTGTCTGCAGTTTTGCGCTGAATGTCAAAGGCCACAGGACCTCTGATGGTGAATCCAAGGTAAAAGGTAACTGAGCGTGGTTTCCAAATTTTGTTTCTCACATTGGCATCGATCTTAATCTCTTTGCCACCAACTCTTGTATACACTTTGTAGTTTCTTACTTCTCCATCAAGTCTGAGAAGGAGCTCTTGAACAGCAGGATTTCTGAAGATTTCTTCTTTCTTCCAGTTATCGCTCCAATCTGCTTCAATCACTTTCAGATGTTTCTCAATAACATTTCTGTGAACAATTCTCTTCACACCTTCACCTTTCCCAATGAAAAACACAGGAAGGAGGTATCTGTTTCGAAAGTACTTCTTATATGTATTTTCATAAGACTTGTACATTTGCTGAGTTAACTCACTGAGGTCATAATCACATTGGCCTTGATTTCCAGCCCAGTACCAGAGGAGGGAGAACATGTGCAGCTCAGGTGGGTCTTTCTTGCTCGATGGCATTTTCCCTATAAATAGTGTGAGGATGTTGTTGACCAGAGCTGCTTCTGAATCTGCACTTGGACACATTTCTCTACACTTTGTAGATATGTCTTCGAGCTCTGATTGAGTGTATTGTTTGACAAGAAATGACAGCACTTCCACAGACTGGTCATCTAGGTTTCCCTCCTGAAACATCTGGATGAGTTGTTTTGCAGTTGTGTTGTCAACATACTTCTGGTAGCACTCTGAGGTGTCTTTAGATATATATTCAGGATCATCTTTCTCCATTTTAGGCTTTGAGTAAGTCTGAAATTTTTCCAAAAACATGCATTTTCTCTCAATGTCATCTTGCAGGCTTAATATGAGATCATTGAATCTTTGGAGTTTGTTGTCTCCAAGTAATTCGAGGACAGAGCCCATCGATACTTTTTTGGTGAGAACTTTTTCCCAGGTTTCATTTTGACTGACAAGTTTCTTATGCAGAGTTTTGCAGACCTGCAGGTAACCAAACTGCCCTCTGAAGTTATAAAAAGGTGAAACTTTTATATTGCCATGTTTTTTCATGTCTGGTCCATCTTCATCTTCAGCAAGTTTTTCTTCATCTTCAAAAGCTTTAATGGCTTTTTTGGCCAGTCTCAAAATGTCTCTTGGTTCAGAAACCTCATTGTTCATTAGGTGGTTTTTATGGACTTGGCCAAGTGTGTCAGCAACAAATGAATTTTGAGGATCTCTTTCTATTGCTCTCTGTGCCCACATTTCTGCCTGATTGTAGTCTTTTAGTTCTATATAATAAAAACGAGCAAGAGCTTGTGGAAAAAATGGATTTTGACCAAATGTATTTGAGGCCACTTCTAAAACTGTTGCACACTGCTCTTTCCCCTCCATCATTTCAATGTCTAGAATCAGTCTAGAAAACTTTTTCTGTTTGATGTCTGTGCTGTTGACTTGGTCCACTTCTTGTTTCATTTCTCTTTTGGTTAACATCTCTTTGACAAAACCAAGGAACCACAGAGGAATCGGATCTCTACAAAAAGTGTTCACGAAGTTTCTTGTTGTGTCACTTCTGGTCACACCTGCCTTTGCCAACAGTTCAGTACAATATTGTGCTATCATAGTGTGAGCCATGCGGACTTTTTTCTCAGCTCTTCCATCTTCTTGGAATGTGATGATGAGATGACTGAAAGGCTGCATTTGATCCTCCAGTGAAAGGTCATCGTAGTCTTCATGTCTGAGGAAGTCCAGGCACTGAGACTCCAGGAGATATGAACCTGGTACGTAGGCATTCAGCAGGCACAGGAAGGCAGCAAGCTTCAGTGACTGATTAGTTTTTTTGCAATTTTCTAATGCAGCACATGCCTCCCTGACGTAGTCCTGAGAGAAATTACTTTGCATTATGTTAAAGCCATGAAATTGTTCACATTTATCTTTGTACCTCTTTTGAAGCTCTTCCTTTTTCTTATCAAATTTGTCCTTCTCATTGTCTGAGAGTGTGTTCTTTAGGACAACGTGGTCACTCTGTTGAGGTGCATTGTTTCTCACACAGCTGAGGAAAATGACTACAGGCATACGAGTAACTATCTTCTGCTCAGCAACTGTCATCATAATGTTGATTTCAAGATCTTCCAGGATTTTCTTTTCATTCACTAACAACAGCACAGTGTTCTGGTCGTTTCGACTGCCTGCTGTGAAAAGTTGGACAACCTCTTTTGCAACTTTTGCCATGTCTGAGGTGGAGCCAGTTAAAACAGCACACCTGAAGGTTTTTCTCAAATCCCACATCACCTGCATGGCCATTGTAGTTCCCCCACATCCTGGTTGGTGTGTCAGTTTTACAGCTGATATCCCTGGAAATGTTCTCTTTTTCTGAATTTGTTCCCTGAGTTTCTCATATCCATCTCTTTTGATAAAAGCAGTCCCAAGGGACTCTGCCTGTTCACTGATGTAGAAGTTTAACCACTGAGGTGGGCCCCCTCTGTAGAAATTCTCTTCTGTCTTCCCAGTGAGTGCTGGATCAAAAATTTCTCCTTCAAACTGATTTGCATGGAGAACATGCAACATTGTGCAGGAATCTCTGAATTCACTCCGTACATATACTTCCCCACCTTTAGCAGTGGACAGGGCTGGTCCGTTTGCCATCTTTAGCTTTAGCTGTCCTGTGCTGTAATAAGTTTTAGAAAATGAAAGTAATTTAGTTTGAACTGTTATTTGATCCTAAAGGAGTAGTCTAGATAGTAGCAGACACAACATTAATAAGAGTTTTGTATGCTGGGGTTGCACATTGACCCTATGAAATGTGAAGCACTTGTATATGAAGCCACAATATCAACCCCTAAATTTACCTTCATACACAAAACATTCACTCACTGACTGGATTTTCAGGTACACCTGTTCAACTGCTTGTTAAAATGAACATCTTGTCAGCTAATCATATGGCAATATCTCAATGCATTGTTGTATTTATAAAATCTTTAGGAATCTCCTAAACCCTGGAATTATTCCATGTGCAACTACAGAGTGACCGTACTATCTGCAGCACTCTTTATGTCAAGATATACATTTACAGCATCACATTCATAAAAAGTTTAACATTGTTGCAGATGAAAATTCATACAGATTTTTCTTGCCTTGTCTTTCAGTTGTTGCAAATGTAGCTGAGCTCCTCTCAAATGTTCTGCTGATCTGTGACTGGTAACTATGTTCCATAACCTGGGTACCAGGTAGCTGCTATATATAGTATACAGCCACATGCCACACCCAGGAAACATTTGTGGGTATATGTATACACCCACCAAAAGACCCGTAGAATGTGAAAATCAAAGTGAGTAGTATGCTATGATCAAAATATTAGAAGGGATCATTTTAGGTAATATATATGGTCACATAAAAAGGTAAATGGGAATGGGGTATATTTAAGATATTTAGATGGAAGAAAATTAAGAATGAAGCTAATAAAGAAAAATTAGGGACTATGTTAAGAGTATAATATTGTATACTTGATGTCCCTCGAACTTCATGAGGAAGAATGTCTACATTGACTTAGGCTATTGTTTTCTCACTTTCTTGCAGCAGTCTCTTTTTACTGCAAAGGTTGGACATTTCTGGTAAAGGGCGGGGTGAGTTCATATGAACAGAAATTTTACTGGCAACAGGCCAGTTACATTCTTTACCCATAACTTTGTAACACAGTAAGTACAGTGTAAAAAATGAAGGTCAACTAGTAAATTCATTTGAAACTACGACTAAATTGAAAAAAAAAGTTCTATTAACATGTTTGTTGTAAGGAATTTAATATTTTTGTTCTCTCTCATAATGAAACCTATCACTGCATTTCTTCAACACTGATTCTGACTGTCTCTGTAGGCCTGTCTGTCTGGTTTTATCAGTTACAATAAATCTCGTGTACTGACAAGGTTGGTGATTAACCCGTAAAAGGTTGAAGTGAATTCATTTGAACAGAAATGTTACTGACAAGAGGCCATGGAAATGTTAATATTTGTAACACTGTAACTGTAAAAAAAAGAAAAGAAAAAAAAATACTCAGTGAAGTAAAGTTTCATTTTTCCATGTTATTAAAACATGTTTTTTCTACTTTTATTTAATTGACTTTCTTTCATTGTCATAACAAAACCTATAACTGCATTTCTTCACTTTCAGTTCTTACTGTTAACCTGTAAACCTGCCTGCTGGGTTTTCTGGTACTGACAGAGGTTTTTGTTTAGATACTGGAGGATGTTTTTAGGATTGCTTAGTTACCAGAAGAACCAAACAATACTATTCCAAGAAAAAAATTAATGCTGAAAAGGTCTCCAAAATGTATTTAAATATAACTGCTGCAGATGGGTTTAGGCTACCTTTTTGGAAGCCACTGGACCAAGCAGGAGAGTAATATCAAAAAATGGCCAAGTACTTCAGTTATTTAGGTCATTGTTCGAGTGGCTCAGTCACAAATCCTTCTTTTTCATTTCTTCCTCTGATGTCTCCATCGGCAAGTTTTCTTCCTTGTAAAAATTGCACTTAATAACTTTACTTTTGTAATTTTGAAGTTTACAAACAGGGACATGCGAGGAATGTATTCATTTTTAGTGTAAAGTTCATCAGCGTTTTTATTTGTCATCTCTAACTCTGGATCTAAATCTCACCACATCATCCACCTTGAAATTCAAAACTAAGTTATCAAGAAATCTGACAGCAATATGTTCACTCACGCCAATGACAATGGTGACGACGTCGAACAAGAAGAAGTGAGACCTTCTTTCTGATTGTGATTTTTTTCATATTAAACATACACAAGTAAAATGAAATAGAGATTTCCATTAAGTATAGTCGACAAGTATATCACACTCTCACTTAATTATAAATAACATATTAACAACACACACACACATATAAATTCTAAAAAACATTAATGATTTATCCAATTTCTGAACAAAATATTACATAACTCAAATATAATCTTACATTTATATCCATTTAGTTCTTAAATACTTATCGTTTGAATTATAATCCAAAACTCTAATTTGTTTTTAATTAGTTATTAATTAATTATTACAGCTGTATGGCATGCCATAAATTTTAACAGTTTTTTTAATCACGTGACATGTGCGGGTCATAAACCCCTTCTAATATCCCTCCTTGTATACAATATTTTGGGTCAGTTTTTTCTTATTTTGATCCAGCAGTATCGTTTTACTGGAAAGGTTGGACATTCACCCCCTATATGAACTCACTGGCAACAGGCCAAATACCATGTGAAAGAAGAAAGTGCTATTAGCATAGTTACTGTAAGGTATTTAAGCTCTCCTAAATTCTCATAATGAAACCTACCTGTCAGCGCCTGAGACACAGCCTATTGAGTCATTTTGCATATTGTGGATAATGTTCAGTTCTAGTGTTATTATTAGTAGGTTTAGTCTAGTTAACATTGTCATTCATGCTCTCTGGTTTATGTGTCATTTCTGTCTTGTCCTCTATGTATAACTTTTAGTTATGTCTGTGTCTTGCCCCCCTTAGTTCTAGCCATGTTCCTCTCCTTGTATTCCTTTCTGTTTCCCCAGTCTGTCATGTATTTCATGTCTGTGTGTTCCAAATCCTATAGTCAAATTTGTGCTGTTATGCCTACGTCTCACCATGTTTCCTGTTTTATTTTGAAAGTCTTGTGTTGCCATGTTCAGTGTGTTTAGTTGTATTTCTCCTGTGGTTCATTTGTGTCAGCTGTGTTTCCCCAGTTGTTTCCACTTCTCTCATTATCCTTGTGTGTATTCAAGTTCTCTGTCTTCCTTGGTTCAGTGTCAGGTTATCTGTCTATCTCGCTTCATGTCCATGGATTCTCATGTCACTTAGAGTCTCAGGTTTAGATATGCTCATGTTGTGCTCATGTTATAGTTTCATAATGTTCAGGTTCATGTTCATGTCATAGTTTCCATGTTTTGTTCTAGTTATTCCCAGTTTAGGTTATCATTTAGTCTTTGCCTTTGTTTTGTTTTTTGCTATTATCCTGCATAAACAGCTCGCTTTTCGTTACACTTCAGTTTTGCATCTGGGGTTGGGTCCGCTCTTCAAACACACCGGGTGCCCAGCCGTAACACTAACACTGCTGCTGACTGTCTCAACAGTCAATATTTACAGACAAAAGTCTACAGGTTTTATCATTAAAAATCTCTAGGATGGACATGTATTCATCCTAAATTTGGATTGTGGTAACAGAAATTACAAGTTGCTGAGGATTATTTGCACTCAGCATGAAGACAAATAAAGCATTTGGTACTAGTCCAGTGACATTTTCACCTCTCCATCTTCAGATTTTATAACTTCTTAGTTGTCTTTGAAGGAGACGTCCGGGCAACACAGAGTTGGTTAGCAAATATATTTTAATATATAATAGTATATTCATTTTAGCACAATGACAAAATGGCATAATTTCAGTTCAGTCTCATTTAAATCATGACAAAAAGCCACACCTTTATATGTGTTTGAATACCTCATGATGTTTTGCTGCAGTCATTGCAAAATAAATCATGAATCCTGAAGTACTCCTTGCCCCATGAGAGGAAATCCTTAGCAAAAGTGTCTAACAGCATTGAGCCCATAGGATCCAACAGGGTTACTTATGTGAGCTGAAATATTTAATGGTTGTAATGATGCTCCTCACTGCACTCTTAAGGTCAGTGTCACACTAGATCACTTCAATGTCTCACATAACAGGCAGAACTCTTAATCGTATCTATTAAAGAGCAACAGTTCTTGACAAATGTAATGAATTAGATCAACTATGAAACAGCCACACCTGCCACTTGTAACATCAAGTAAGAACTATGCACTTTACAAAAATTAGATAAATGCAGAATATGAGACAAAACATCCCACTGACAGACCGACTGACTCAAAAGGCAGTAACACACAGGCAACTCACAGAGCCCAACAATTAACTGAGAAACACATCAATTTAAATGTTTACATTTTCTTCCTGTGGTAATGGATCCAAACTAGATACCTGGAGAAATGAATATTTATTATGGAGGTTAATAATAAGTTAAAGGTATGACACTACTGATAGAATGTGTAAAAAATAAAAATAAAAAATGCCAAAACCTTTCATGTCAGCTTGAACTGTTAGAAGCCTACAAAAGCCAAACTAAAACCGTAGGAAGCTTTCTTAGCTGTAAGTTAGACCTTTACCCACAGGGGAGCAGGAAAGGACTCCATTACTTCAGTGCTTAACCTCCATTGTCTGCTACTACAAAACACACATGCCTAGAGATAATGATTGTTCAGGATGAACATCATGGAAAATTGCTCAAAGTCACGTCACAATTTCAAGTTCATTCACTCCAGCAGTTTGCAACTGAATCAAGTTGGCACTTTTACCTAAGATGGGAACATTTTTATGCATGAAATGTAAACTTTATTTGTCTCAACAAAAGCAAAAACATGTTTTTGTTGTGCAGCTCTAGAGAAAATGCAGCAGACGAGGTTAAAAACAAAAAACAAAACTTAAGCACAGTTTTCAGGAAAGCCAAACTCAATGCAACTCATTCTTCTAGTGACAGTTCAAAGGTACAATGGAAAACAACAACAAAGAAAACATTGCTGCACAACTTCATTACATCACTCACCGTACATTCAGCATTCCTACAGTAACAACAGCCTCATTGTCATTAACGACATCTCACCTCTGTACAGCATTCTTGTGCAACACGTGCCACATTCAGAGTGATCTGATAGAACTAGATGTGGACATGAGTTGCACACCCTCCCCCCGAGATGCTTCATCAAATATGAACCTACATATTTAGATGTGCTCACACTTCTGCATCTTATCTTAAACAGCTACAAACCACCAAGCTACTCCTCACTACTTACACTAACTACTGTGCACCTTCTCCATCTATCACCCCACAAAAGCACCTTTAACCCTTCATTAAAACTTGACTTTAAACATAAAAAAGGAAATAAAACTCAGGAGCCTCACATGGTGAACATTAAATAGGTTAACAGACCATTATTTGATATAAATGAAAAACTACGTTGTATAAAATATGAATGTAACATACATTATCACCTCATCATGATCTTATATATCTTTTGACTCATTATATTTATAGAAATCTTTGCTTAAAATTCCCTTGCAGCCAATCATATGTCACCAGGTTGTTACACAGAGCTGTTAAATGTAGTCAATTTTCAT